GCATTACAGTGCATAGTAACCGTATCACGCAACTTACACCTTTCTCAGACTACGTCTCGTCACAAGAAGCCCCGAGCAGTCGGCCGCTTCCTCTTTTATACGGTGCGCCCCGGTTTTGCGATCACGTTTCTTCCCTTACGTCACAGATCTCTTTTAGCTCCCAACTCTGACCAACCGGCCCTCCCGAACACGGCAGAGTGCGGATTGCTATCGCTATCTCCCGCTACCTAATATGGTTGTGGGATGCGTGGTGCGCACTTGGCGCGACGCCATGGTCAATTCGGACCATAGTGTCATCACAGCCATCTATCGGTCAGCACCGTTATCTATAGGTCAGCCCGTGTGCGGCCGCCTGTCACACTCCAGAGATTCATAACTGCGATTCCCAGCCTAGCTGGCGCCATCTCGAGTCGCTCTCTTTGATCTCCGTGTCGACCGCTGACTCGCCCACTCCTGTGTCATGCATTACCCCAACAACATTCTCGCATCCGTCATCACCTTCCCTGGCGTTTGCCCGCTTACAATATTTTTGTTCAGCCGAATTAGTTCGTACTCGCATAACTAGAGAACTCCGCAGCCTAGAGGAAAACAAAAGATATTTTCAGAATCAGCACGTCTGGGAGGTGGTTCTGGCTGAAACAAAAATTAAAAATTCATAAAAATTATATTCATCAATAGATGGCGGTGCATACAGATTAACATCACGTACGTGTGAATCCATGGGTATACCCTTAACGGCGCAGTGGCCTAATAAATATAAATAAATCGCTAGAACATCTGTATCCTACACCGGGATTCCGGGTTCGAGTCCCAGCTGGGGAACTTATTTTCCCCCTTTTTCCTTTTTTTCCCTTTACCTACCTCTTTAGTATGTATTATTTTAATTTCTTACTTTTTAATTTTAATTTTTTATATTTAAGGTCTTTTATTTTTTGATTTCTTATTATTTTTTACTGTTTGGGATGGGGTGGGATGGCATAGGATGGCATGCGATGGCATGGCATGGGATGGGATGCGATGCGATGGGATGCGGTGCGATGGGATGCGGTGCGATGGGATGCGGTGCGATGGCATGTCATGGGATGGAATGGATGGATGGATGCATGGATAGATAGATAGTTCGATTTTTTTGGGTATTTTCCTTTCAACCAAGCGGTCACCAACTGAGTAACGCCACTGATTTCCCCGGGCAACGCCAGGTATCCCGCTAGTATATAATATGCAGGAAAACTCCATATATTAAAACAGTAAAGGGAAGTAAGAAGATATGATATATCCAGATAAAATTGCACTGACTGGGAATCTTAATTCATACACTATCTCACTCAGTCATCCGATACTTCTGCCTAGCATTACAAATTTACAAACTCACCTGCTTTCGGCATTCGGCATACGACTGGATAACCTTACACAGTACTTTTGTACACACAAATAAGCCAGTTCGTAGTTAGCCAAGGGGTTGTGTGAGGTCACAGGTCACCGGGTCATTTGTGACAAAAATCAATGAAAAAGGCTCACAATGCGCATCCAAACGCTAATTTCTCCAGTACTAAACTAGCAAATACTTCGTGTCATGCATAATCACACTACCTTATGACAAAATAAACTCTAGTTCCACCCATTCCACTGCGCGTTTGCTTAAAACCCACAAGAAAGAGGTGAGAAAAAATAATCTTATACAAGGCATATAGCTGACCCTACATGTTGTCCCATAGCATACAAACACTGACTTCAGTATTCATGTTTCAATGTCTCACTCCATGTACAAACATATATCTGTAATTTCCTATCACGTTCATAGCACCACATAGTGGCAAGATAACTAGGATCTGAAACCTTGCATATTTAGCAATGTATTGAGGGAAAAGACACCGAATGGCCCCGAAAAAATGCGAGTTCTCTTTGTTTCCTCTGTCCATCATCACTAAAGAAATCTACACGACGTACATTTTGCGTTGCCATTTCTACCCACATGGCTCTGCCTCTGACTTTTTCGAGGCGCCCATTGTGACGGATGTATTCCGAAATTTTGTCATCTTCCTCTTTGGTGTATCTGTTTCATCATATGAGACAAGAAAAGCATATATAAACATCTGGCAATGACAGCCGATCTAACTGTCCAGTGAGTAAGAGCAAGCTATAGGCTATTCTGATCTGGTGCAGCAATTTTTACCCAAAACAATTACATGGTTCATCAGGTTAGGACTGTATTTGTAACGGGTAGCGCAAGCCTTGGTAATGGGAAGATGTGGCCTCGAAAATTTGCTGTATTACGAGAATCGTAACGTGAATCTCACGTTTCCTTAGTTTTATTTCACAATGAGATGCATTTCTATGGAAAGACATTCCAGATATTTATAGCATCCTGAACCCTCAGCTACAGACAGCAGTTACCTTTTATTATTTCTGTCGCCGTCTTTAGTCTGAAATGCCAAAAAGACAGGAATCTGATATGATTTTATATTATTATAAGCACTGTTGTCAGTTATACAATGTGTATAATTTATATAAAATTGGGCCGCCCTCATGCCGTCTCTATCAAATTTCATCAGTCTCATCCAAGAATAGGGTGCACAAAAGACGAGTAGATGGGTCTCTGGCTAACACGCTGCTTTAAATTCAGAAAAACATGTAGCTTCATGAAACGGTCACACATCGAGAGAACCTCGCATTCTGAGCGGTCGGGTTAGAATACATCCAGACCAAATTAATCTCGTAGTCTTGTAATGGCACATCTCCGTCTATTACAGGTTTTGGTCACGGCACTAAAATGTAGACGCGCGTTTCGCGCTACGATGTGGAATTCT